GCGGCGCGGCGCTGCGAGCGTCCCTGCGGGCCCGACAAGCCCCGTCCCGGCCGGCTACTCCATGGCGACAGCGGGCGGCGAGAGAGGGCGGGGCGGGGGCACCGCCTCCGCTTCCGCCGCGGGGCGGGGCCGGGGCGGACGCCGCTGGGTGGGCGCCGGGCCGGAAGTGACGCACGCCGCCGGTAACGGCCGCGGCGATGGCGGTTTATTTGACGCCGCGGTTCAGGCGGATCCGTAGTCGGAGCGAGTTGGGGTTGCGGGGCGGCTGCGCGGGGCGGCGAGGTGAGAGCGAGGCAGAGGGCACTTCCCTCCCACACACTCCCTACCTCCTCCAGCAGCCCTGGGGCTGTCAGCGGTTCTTCCCGGGCGGGGCGTCGGCACGTGATCGCCGGTTTAACGGTTCCCTTCGGCCGTTAGGGCCGTGCGGCTCCCGAGGGCGCGAGGGGCGGGCAGCGCGGGGGCCMTCGCCCTGTGGGCGCGCGGGCAGAAGTTGATCTCATGAGGGCGGAGGAGCCTCCGGGCTCACYGAATGTGCTCCCATCCTTAGGATACAGTAACGGGTTAAGCAGGCTCGGCTGTTTGGGCTGAGCTTGGGGCGGAGTCTAAGTTCGTGTTCAGAATAAAGGGTAAATTGGAAACAGGGATGTTCATATTAACTTTCTGTAGGCATCACTTTGTCGTTGGTTGAATTTTGAGAGGAAGATGGAGGAGAAACTTTCTGGGAAAGGTTTTGGATGAGTTCACTCAGTGATGTATAGTGATGCTCTGGTACGGTATTGAGCATACGCAGCTGTAAAAACAGAAAAAGTCTTTTTTTTTTAACAATCTAAATCTTTTTCATTGACTTAGTGCTTAACTAGCAGGTTGAAGTCAACTTAGGATGGATTTATGGTGTGATATATTCTACCTTTTCTTCTGTAAAATTAGTGTTAACTTATGGAGAATATTGACATCATACAGTAAAATAGTATGCTAAAATGTTAAAATGAAAGCATGCATAATCATAAAAATGTTCATCTCAATGTCTTGCAGATTGTGCTGGACCTTTTCAAGCAACTCAGTTGTGGAATAGTATTATTCATGCTCTTCAAAGCCAGGTGGAAATCAAAAAGCGTAGGCAGCATCTAAAAACATATAAAAACTGTTTTACTGGTTCAAATGCTGTTGATGTAGTAGTGAGTCATCTTATGCAAAGCATGTACCTGAGCTGTAATGATATTTCACGGCTGAAGGGAGTCCGCGTGTGCCAAGCATTGATGGATCACAAGGTGTTTGAGCCAGTTGGAGCAAAACTTAATTTGTTCAAGAATGAGAAAGAGCCAGAGTTTGAAGACACGAGTAGTAGTCTCTATAAGTTTGTGAATACTGGTATCACTCCTCCTCTTCCGAGAAAGAATAAAGAAAATGGGAGCTTGTCCCCTCAACAAATGTATGGACAGAAGACAAAAAGGCATTCAAAGTAAGCATTCTGAACTGATTTATGTTTTTGTGTGTGTGTGTCTTTTGATTTGTCTTTTTTTTTCCTTTTTAAGTTAAGACAGGTAACATTATGGAAACTTTTGCTGCCCTGTCTGGTGTTGGAGACCTTTGAAAACTAGTGCTGTGTGCCACTTTTGGAAAATGGCTTTGCCTGAATCTTGGATGCTATCTAGCATTTCATTATAATGTTAAACTGACTGCTCCTCTGTTAGCTAGATGTATTCTAGCCCAGTAGCACCAGTCAAGCACAGTAACATAGGCCTAGGAAATTTTTTTGCTCCTCCTTTGCAGCAGGATAAAACTCTAAGGTTGAGCTTTGGAAAATTGAGAGTTTAGAACCTGACGGGATGATACACATGTCCTGATAGTAGTTGTATACATCTAGTCTTTTTGTTTTCTATGTCAGGATGAAGTGTGAAACAACTCTCTCAAATCCCCTAGCATTAGAAGCATCTGATAAAAAGTGGATAGAGGAGCTACTTCAATCAATAAATATATATCCATCTTTACCTCCAAAGAGTAGAATTAATGAACCAACTCAACGGCTTTCAAAAAGAGGTGAGAGTTGAAGTATTTTTGTTTGTTTTAAATGTTAGCTCTACAAATAACAAAGATGCTTTTTATGATAATATTGATCCTGGGACATCAGTGTTACAGAAGTTAAGTCTTGATTGCAATGCAGCAGTTTGTTTTTGAATACTTTTGGAATCTGTATTTGTAAGTGGCAGAATCCAAAAATATTGGGATTGCTCTGTTAGTAGAGGCTCCGCTCACCATGAAGGCTTCAGTCTATTTTATACTACGGATTGGGAGGAAATAATACACAGAAATACTAAGCAAAAAATATACTTGAACTACTTCACTGAAATTCAGTACCTAGAATATAATCATGTTCCAACTCAGTGCAGCTTAATGCATGGTACTATGGTTCTTTATTATTCTGGAAAAATAATAAATATGAATGCTTAAATACTTAAGTGTCTGAGTAATAATTTAAGGATGCATGCTTACAATATCTCCTTACAAACCAGTAAATACTGCATATGGGGCATATCTTGTATTTTTGAAAGTTCATTGCTTTGATAGCTGCTGGCCACTTATACCACTAAAAGAGCTTAACTATGCAAAATAAAATCAAAACATGATTTGGATATCAAATTAGGGATTTCATCTTTTAACTTTTTTTTTCCAATTTACTAGTCTTAATCCTGTAAGAAATCAAATCGCTAATCAATATTTCTATATTTTTCTGTTCTTTAAGTTGTTTGTTTGTTTTTTTGTTTTATAGGGGAGGCAGGCAGTGGCTAAATTTGAGAATCACGACAACTCTTCATCTGGGGTGATATCCATTAAATGGAACTATTTCCATTAAATGTTGCTCCTCTGAGTCTTAAACTTAATGTTACTAACTGCAAGCTAGCAAAGTGAATATCAAATTTCTAAAGGGGCATAGCAAGTAAACTGAAAGAAACAAAACAGGATTAACTCTTTGCAGGATTATGGAAGCTCTGTGTAGGATGGCAAATACCACTTGAAAAAGAAATGTTTTTGTAAAATTGAATTGTCCCTGTCTTAAATATCTGTCAAACAGTTTCTTTGCAATTCACTTGCATTCTTTATGCATTTTACTAAAATACTGGAGTAAATTAGMTGCATGTGACATGATAGAGGAGAGAGATGCTGTATTAACAGCCTTCTTGCTCAGTCTCTGTGTTCTGATTCCTTCTTTCCCCAACCAAGAAACCTACATGTTGTTACTTGATTCTCTTAAAATTTAAAAGATTCTTGATTGAGAAGAAACATAGGTTAATAACTTCATATAAAATGGGATTTCTGTGTGGTTTAATTTTCTGATTTTTTTTATGTCAGTTATAGAAGATGTCTGGAAACAGCAAACTCTGCTACGACTACTGCAATTAATTGATGTTCCAGTTCTAGAAAATATTTTGGTGTCTTCAGTACAGTCAAAGCCAGAGTGTTTTGGCAGAGAAGAAGACCTGATTATTTCAAATACTTTCCTTGACAGAGAGGTTATGGGTAGCTTAAACTTGCCTGAGTAAGTTACATATCTGTGTGTGTGTGGCTGTTTTTTGTTTTTGTTTTGAAGTTTGTTAGCAGATATTTTATTTCACTCTTTAAGATTGCTATTATGTGAGCAAAAAATAAGATTTTGTTACACTTCAATATTCTTAAACTGAGATGGTGTTAATGTGCTTTCCCTAGCTAGCTTCTTTTCAAAACTGCTGAAGGAAGTCACAGAAGTTATGTGTTTGTGATTCATGTACTTGAAAAGGTCACACATGCAGAAATTATGTTGCAAGGAATGAAAATTCTCTTCATTTCTAGAGTAAATATTTTGCTCTTAGATCCCTATACCAGATTAAAAAACTGCGCAGATTTGTTCTGGGTCGGTGGGTTTTTTGTTCRGTCTTTAAGGGATCTTTATAGGTGGAATTGCTCAAGGACATTTAGTCACATATCCTAGTGCTCTGAACATGTGAAAACAAGAAGGCACTTCTTGGTAGCACAGAAGCAGCAAAGCTGTAATACTGAAGTATGCTTATGATGTGAAGGATATATAAAAGTAAAGATGTCTGCATGTTTTCARTGTGGCTTTTTTTTTTTTTAATGCTTTATTTTTGGTTCACGAGGAAGTTCATATGTGTATTTATACCTGTTGCCTCTCATCCTGTTGCTKGGCACTGCTGAGAGGAGTCTGGTCCTGATCCTCCTGACACCCTCCTGATATTTATAGACATTGATGAGATGCTTGTTCAGTCTGAGGAGTCCCAGCTCTCTCAGCCTTTCCTCATTAGAGATGGTCCAGTCCCTTAATCATCTCACCCTTCGTTAGGGATTTTTTTTTTTTTTTAGAAAAACTGTTTTCCACTGGTTCTACATTAAATGACCTTCTACATGGCTTAATAGTACAAGCAGGCCCTACAATAAGTAGCTGAGCAATAAGGTTGTTTTGAAAAAATGTTTTGAACTATCTTCCTCCCCAGCCCCAATTAATTATTGACTTCCACAGTCTTCCAGGTTTTAAATTCTTTTTGATTGTCCTTGTTTTCAGATTAATTGTATCATTTCTCTTCTCAAATGCAGCAGTCCCTGGCTGTTACACTCTAATCAACTCTGGATTTTCCATGATGTGTGTTGAGAGTGGTGGTGTTGATTTAAATACTACCTGAATTTGACAAATGTTGTAAGACTGTTGCTGACTTTGATCCCAGCTCTCTTCTGATACGGATGTCTTGGGCATATTATCTGTAGTGCAGCAGAAAAGAAAGATACTTATTTTGTGCATATCTTCAAATTATAATGAAGTAAAATACATAAACTGCTTAAGAAACAGAGTTAATGCTGTGGTTCAAATACGTGATGGTACCTGTATAGTTCTATCTGATTTTCTTTAAGGGGTGAAATAACTTAGATACTGTGTTCTAAAATAAGCACTAAAACTAACTTTTCCATTTGCAGGCTTGACAAATGGCTTTACGCTGCAATYGAATGCTTGGAATATTTCCCAGACCAGTTCATAGTGATGGTTAATCAGCAGTTATCCCAAAGCAATGATAAACCAAGCAATCTCGATACTCACAAGAAGATTTTATTTGATATTATAATTAAATATTATAGTCAAAAGAAGGACTCCCTTCTTGACATTCAGGATCTTGATATTCATGAAGGAATTATACAACTTCTAGGTAAGAGCAACWTTGAACAAAAAGTAAGAATCAAAGCTGTCTAAAGGGTGTAACATTAAGTATTGACCAAAGTTGAATCATCACATCTGCTATGTTATTGCAGCCATTCTTTAACTTAGATTAGAAATGAACTCCAAGGAAAATCAATGGTCTGAAGTCCTGTTCAAATGAAGGGTTGTCTTCCTAGTGCAAGCTGTGTAGGGTCAGGTTCACGTGAGTTTGGAAATCCTTCAAGAATAGGGATTTCATGATTTCTGTGGATAACCTCATCTAATACAGAAYTAATCTCATTGTGGAAAAAGTCTTATCTCTARTCAGAATTTCCCTTATTGCTACAGTTGATTTGTAACACAGATCTCAAATCATTCTGTCACATGGTTTACTTAACCTACAAGACTTGTAGTTATGGGTTTCTTTTATTAAGTAATGATTATTTAAAATTATACAAGGGGTTGTTGAAGTTTTCATTCAGGCTGTAATCCCACTCCAGCCTCCCACTCCTTTTGTAAGTAATGCAGAAGGGTTTATTTCAAGTTTAATATTAATCCTGTCTTAGGCCCTGTTACTACTTSAGTATTGCAGGGTTTGTAGAATATTAACAAAAGCTGTAGTCTTCAGAGCTTGCTGGCACAGGAACACAGTTGTCCTATCTACAAGTTGGAGCAGAGGTAGATGCTGTGTCCAAACACTCACGGAGATACAAAAGGCAACTTTATCATCTATATTTTGTTACGGAAAAAATAGGTAGAACCATAGGAGGGACTGTGAAAGGAAGAAAAAGGCTAAATTACACATCCTAGTTCTAGCAGAAAAATGCTAATTTGAATTAACTGATTTATCTGCTATAACTTCTGCTAAGTGTTTCCTTAAAGGTGTTTTAGTTTAAATATGCAATTTTAATATAAAACTGGTGTAAGAGACTACTGCTAGAGAAGCAACTAGAGAATGAAAACAGTCAAATCTCTGGGCAATTTGGAAGAGTGCTATGATTCTTTCTGATAGCTCAATACTGTAGTTGCCTGTAGCACTTTGTTATTTAAATAGTCYCGTGGTTATCTTCTTCCTGAACTTTTTCTTCTTTTCTTATATTTTTATTCCAACTTGGGGAAAAACATGTTGTGAGCGCTTTGCAACCAACTTCCTTTCTTTTTGAGGAAGTAACCCTGAAGTTGTCATTAGGAAATGACTTCCCATTTCTGGGGAACAGTTTTGAGTTCTTAAGTTTCTTCTCAGCTGCATTCTTGCCCCCTCTGTACCACCCTCAGAAGATGGTGCTGAACTTTTACATCCTCTTTACCCTCTTAGGGCTACAGGGCTGGTTCTGGCTGTCAGTGCACAGCAGCCTGCTTTCCATTTGTGGTTTTTCAGGTAGAATCCAGTACAGTTAGCTTGGATAAAGTGCTGGTGTTCTCACTCCAGCTCAAAATAGCCATGAATATATACATAGTTAGATTTTTCACACTTAATCTAGGGAGATTTTGTACTAAGTTGTACTATTTTGTACAACTCCATTTTTCTTGTTAACAGTGCGTGTAGTTAAGTAGAAAATCTCTGAATTCATGTTCTTAAATCAAGTTGATTTAAGATGGGTGATTAGGTAGATGTGTTGTAGACAAACATGCTGCTCTGTCTTCTCTAAAATAAACAGAGCATCAGGTTTAGACTAAATATGAAATGGACAGTTGCAACTCTAGATRKTTTTTTTCTTGCTAATCACCTCCTTTGGCTGTTCTTTCTTGCTTTTTGTCTGCTCTTTTCCAAGTAGGTCTCTTTCTCGYGCTCTCATTTTTTTYYWWTTKGRWWAAAWMRKTKGRWTTWARKKGSCYKKKG